CATATTTACCCGCCATGTCAGTCCTACTTGCCCAACCCACGAACCAACCCAATAATTGACCCAACCCAAACACGAGACCCCTGAAAAGTAAATCAAAAGAGGAAAGGATTCCCTTCCTCCATCGTACGTCCTGGACTCTCTGGTTCCATAAGCCAATTTTATGTAGTCGGAGAGCTCCAACCGGAGTTTGGGTAATTCACCGCTCACGTTCGTTTTCGTGATGTGGAAGTGGTGGTTGTATTTTGTTGTTCTCTTTGCGTAGTCTGGCTATTTTGTTTGGTTGTTGGTGCCGGAGCTCGGAAAATTGGGCTTGGTTTAGGGGAATTGAATTCTGGCTCCGTCTTGTTTTAGTGAAATGCATGTTAGTTTTTTGATTCTCAATTGGTCTGATACGAGCTGGAAGGGGAAAGCGATTGTGCTAGCATTGCATCTCTGAAATCCTTTTCATGAATTCCATGGTTACAATTTTGTGATTTGGTTAAAGTCTATACAGTAGTATGTATGTTGTCGCTCTGTGTATGTGGAGGCGCGGGAGGAAGAGATTGGGGGAAGGAATTCAGGGCGGCGGCGCGGCGGCCTTCATCCCTCCTTCTTCGACGATTTGATTTTCAAACAATTGGGTTCGGAGAGATGCGGGAGGACGAGAGGACGATGGAGGAAGGGAAAGTGCCCTACCCTTTCCTGTTTTGATTTACTTTCAGGGGTCTCGGATTTGGGGTTGGGTCAATTATTGGGTTGGTTTGCGGGTTGGGCAAGTAGTGCTGACATGGCGGTTAAATATGACGTGGCGGGTCGGGGCATTGTTTTTTAGTGTTAAAATATGCTGACTGTGATTTTCTGTTAGCCACGTCATCACTTAACGGTCGTCATTAACGGAGTCTAACGGAGGTTAACGGAGAGTGACTGAACTTGGACTGTTCAACTAATTTAAGTGACTATAAATGAAATAAATTAATTTGAGTGGCAAACGTGAAATTTTGTAGCAATTCGAGTGACCAAACTTGCAATTAATCAATCAACAAACTATATACTAAAGTATAGCGCATGTCCAGAAAATTGAAGATAATTACTTAAAAAATAAAGTGAGGCCTTTATTTTCTAAAGTTAAATCAGGTAAACTCTTGGCATATATATTAAATACATTGAAATAGTGCTTCCCTTTCATTTAATTAATACGCGTTATTTGTGTGCAGTTGTTAGAGTTTTCACACTTGGACCTTCTTCATGTACATGCCTATATTGTGTTGCTATTATGTGGAAAGACGAAAGCACATCGCGATAAAAAAAGTCAACCACTAAGAAACTTAACCTTTGTTGTAGACAAGGAACAGTCAAGCTTCCTTACCTTCAACAACCCCTTCGGTTCCTTAAGGACTAATAGAGTCAAATAGCAAGGCGGCTAAGCTTTTTTTGGAATACACCAGGCTCTGCAATGGATGGGCTGCAAGATTGACCATAGTTCGGGAACCATACGTATATTCTACAGGGGGGCCATATTTACTATCGAATTGAAAGTCTACTACCACGTGCTAGCTCAACACCTAGGTTAGCACATATATACATTCACCAAACTCACAAAGAAGATGGAATAAAATATACAACAAGAATGACACCGCCCATCGGGCGGGCAAGAAACTAGTAATAATGATGTAATTAACATAATAACATGGTGACACGTCATCAATCCGTGCCTCCATCAGTCGCCACCGCTTCAGAACAACCTTGCCCTCAAGGTTGTTAATCCGCGTTGGCCTTGCTTGCTTCTGCCGCCACTTCCTCTACTTCGTCTTCAAATGTTCCCACCAAGAGCATGAGATTGGCGTTTTCTTCAATCGTTCAAACTCAAAATGAAAATCACTTATAGTTACAGTGTCGGTTTGCTTCAGTTTGACCAACTACTCGGAAGCTTACTCGCCCGTACCGCCAAACCGATCTGTGAATTCCTCCTTGAACCGCTCCCATGTGATTAGTTCTCATTTCTCGGCATAGGTACACTCCAGAAACTATTGAGCTCCATCCTCGAGGTAAAATGATGCGACATAGGCTTTTAATGGAAAAATAGAAAAAGCACACACACCCCTTTATACTTCCAAATTTCTTTCCCCTCTCTTATTTGTTACATGTTCAAACATCCTCTATTAATACTTACATTCTTCGTCCAATTTTTCTCCCTTTCTCCCTTTGTTCATTTGCAGGGTACTCACTTTGTAAGGGTGGTTCTCTCTCGTGCCTCGATGGAAATGAACAAATGGAAACTTGTTTTGAACCTGGGAAGCTACTCTACAAAAGGAAGTACCTGGGAGCTCGAGGGAAGGCCAAAAAGATCGTGTTCCAAGCCTCTCAACTTCCTATGCCGAAACCGATCTGTGAATTCCTCCTTGAACCGCTCCCATGTGATTAGTTCTCATTTCTCGGCATAGGTACACTCCAGAAACTATTGAGCTCCATCCTCGAGGTAAAATGATGCGACATAGGCTTTTAATGGAAAAATAGAAAAAGCACACACACCCCTTTATACTTCCAAATTTCTTTCCCCTCTCTTATTTGTTACATGTTCAAACATCCTCTATTAATACTTACATTCTTCGTCCAATTTTTCTCCCTTTTTCACTTTGTTCATTTGCAGGGTACTCACTTTGTAAGGGTGGTTCTCTCTCGTGCCTCGATGGAAATGAACAAATGGAAACTTGTTTTGAACCTGGGAAGCTACTCTACAAAAGTAAGTACCTGGGAGCTCGAGGGAAGGCCAGAAAGATCGTGTTCCAAGTCTCTCAACTTCCTATGCCGAAACTGAGATTCTGCCAGATTTTGGCTAAGTATGGGAAGCTGTTCGAGGAGCTCACTTTGAAGGGTTATTCGAATGAGCTGGAGGGGAGTCGAAACAAAAGGGAATCGCTACATCCCACTACAAGTTTCACACTACAACGACGAGGGATTGGGTGATCAAAACCATACTTTGAAGGCTTCCGACGAAGGCAAGCAAGATCGTATGGAAGCTGCCGAGAAGACTGTCTTGCAAGGAGTAATCCGAATCCGCTTCGGACTAGGATTGCGACTAAAAGTTTTTCCCTTTTTTGTTTGAAATATATTTCCTTGTTTGTTTGAGAATTGGTTTTCCGTATTAAGATTGTTAGTTAGCTTAGGTCTATTTAAGGTAGATCGATTGCATTGTAAAACTCAGTTTTGGTTTTAATCGAAGACAAACGTTAAGTTTGGTTCAACAAGTTTCGTATTGTGATTGAGAGTGGCTTAGAACGAGTTCTAGGGCTCTCGTTGCTGTATCGATCAAGCTAATCCCTCTTGATCGTGGCCAGCCTTCATCTGATTCTTCTCGAGCCTTTGCCCTTGTGAGCAATTGCACGAAAGAGCTAATCCGCAAAGATATCCAACCTACACCCTGTTTTCGAGAGAGTTTGGTTTGTAAAACCAAGTGCTGCACAATTCTGGTCCTTAACCCGATCTTGGGGTTATCAAGCACGACACCATTTAAACCGTGCTCAGGTCCGGGCCGAACCTATTGAAAGTAACAATGGGCTGGCACGACACGATACGAAAACTGACGGGATGTGCCAAACACGACACGAAATAAATGGGCATGAAGCGTGTCCAGGCACGACCCATCCCCACGTACAACTAGGGCTGGGAATCCGGTTCTAGTTTTCCGGCTAAACCGGAAAACGTCCAGTTAAAACCGTTCCGGTTGCAACCGGAAACCGGATACCCATTAACCCAATCCAATTTACAGTTACAATGATGGTATAAAAAACTGGGCCGGTCCAGTCCGGTTAAAACCGGATCAACCGGATAGTAAATAATAAAGTCCAGCCCAGCCCAGCCTTCCTATTAAAGCCCACTACACCAATTCTCCCAGCCCGCCAACGAACCCCAGCCCGCAAACACCCCTATCCCAACCCTAAATTACATCTCCTCCTGGCCACAAACCTAAAAATTGCAGCAGCTATCCCACCGCCTCCATCAATCTACTCTCGAACGATTCCCTTCCCTTCTCTCTGACCATGTCGATCTCCCTCTACATTCTATAACACCACTTCCAACCCTCCCTCAACCCCCTCTCTAACTAGCCAAATCCCTCCTCAATCTCCCTAATCCGTCCCACTTTCCTCTGCGATACACTGGGCAACGAACGCCGCCGAAGTTCGCCGAAGTGTTTGCAAGCGACAACGACGGCGATGAAGGAGTCAAGGAGCTCTCTGAGTCCCTTGCACGCGACGACGACGACGGCGAGGAGGCAGAAGGCACAAACAAAGACAATAGCCGATGATGGTGATGATCTCCGCCACTCCACCGTTCGATTCGGCAACGACTTGGGTTTGCATGCAATGGGGGAGAGATTTCAGGGAGGAGAAGAGGGATAAGGAAGAAAGATAAAAAAAAATAGAGAGAGAGAGAGAGAGAGATTGAGAAAGTCAGAAAGATATGGATGGTTGAGAAGTAAAGCAAAGATCCCTCTTCTGTCTTATCTATTTCATTGTTTTTTTTTCCATTTTTCTCCAAACAGCAACGTTTTCTACAGGGGATTAATGCAAGCCCGGTTTTCGGTTTAAAAACGGATCGGACCCAGTCCGGTCACGATTGAAACCGGATGCCATCCAATCCCGTCTCCAGTTGGGGTATTTGTCTAAACGGTTTCAAAAAACCGGGTTAATCCGGTTCGGTTTAAACCGGACCGGACTGTTTCCCACCCCTACGTACAACTACAATGAGTAGGTATCCGATTGATCAAATATATAAGACCAGCAAACCCACTAGGCATTAGAAATAATGCTTTCATGTTAATCAATGATCCCATCCATGGCAGGGTACTGAAATGTACACTACAAATACATAACATGAACCCTTAACTGTGCGCAATAACTCCATTCGGACTTTATACAATAGAGAAGAAGAACACAAAGAGATCCCCAAGAAAATAAAATAATATATGAATCACCAAATGAATTAATGTTTAAGCTGTGACCTAAGATACAAGCATCAGCAATCTAAGAACAACCTTGGGCAGGAGAACCGCAGTGTTGCTGATGATCAACTCCATTAGCCTGATTCCAGGCGGCAGGATCAGTTACCATCTTCATCAGCAAAGCTGTCGAACCACCACCAGCAGCAGCAGCTTCCTCCTGCATCCCGACACGGCTCGTCGTCGAAACCTTCCAGATCTTCCGAATCAACCACTGAAATGTCCACTCCTTACAACAAGTACCAACTCCCCTGCCTTCACCCACGACTTCAACCCTCCCCATCTCCGGCCGCTGTTTCTTGCATAGCAAGAAATCCCACCCTCCACACTCTCCGATCGCTGCCCCGGGATTCAGTGCTGCGCAAGAAACTTATCAGTATAGCAGAGAAAGAAATCAATCAATTCGGTTAATCGATTCGATATCTCACGTACCATTGAAACCAGTGTAGGCGCGGTAGAGAAGGAAGTCATGGGCGTTGGAGCCAATGGCCGGGATGCGGCCTTCTCGCGCGTAACGCTTCAGGGCGCCGCGGATCACGGCCAGCACGGTGTCGTCGTGGTTTGCCAGAAACCTTATCGGCCCGAAGCTGCCAGGAACGGTGACGCTAATCAAGAATCTGTTGTTGTTCTTCTTCGTATTATTGTTTACCACTAAAAAAATCACTCAATACCACATTGATTATTTTCAAGGAGTGGTAGTGATTTATAAGGCCAGCTCAACATTAATGATTAAAAGAGCTAGCTGGGCCTTGTTGGGTTAGGTTTTTGGGCCTAAGTGGCCAAACCCTTTCTTCTCTATACAATGGCCGACCCGTCTCCGTGGCCTCCATAACCGGACGATGCCTCCACCCCTTGGTATGAAATTTGACTAAGTATGGAGACCCAACCACAAGGGGGGTCATGCATGACCTCTTCCAAGGTGGTCTCGTCCAAGGGGTCATGCATGACATCGTCCCAGGGGGGTCAAGCATGATGTCATGCAAAGGGGTCATCGCGCTAGACCGTGATGGGAAAGAAGGCGAAAATTGGCTAAGTGTTGAGACCCATAGCACAAGGGGGGTCATGCATGACACCATCCAAGGGGGTCATGCATGACATCGTATAAGGGGGGTCTCGTACAAGGGGGGTCAAGCATGACACCATCCAAGGGGGTCAAGCATGATGTGTGTTGAGACCCATAGCACAAGGGGGGATCATGCATGACACCGTCCAAGAGGGTCAAGCACAAGGGGGTCATGCATGACATCATCCCGGAGGGGTCAAGCATGATACCATCCGATGTGAGTTGAGTATGACAAGACGCGAGCTAACTGTGGTGACAAAGCACTATGCATGACACCGTCCCTATGCATAACACCATCCCTATGCATGACACCGTCCAAGGGGGTCAAGCACAAGGGGGTCAAGCATGACATCATCCCGGGGGGGTCAAGCACTATGCCATCTACCTACCTTGCACCAGGGGGTCATGCATGACATCATCCCGGGGGGGTCAAGCACTATGCCATCTACCTACCTTGCACCAGGGGGATCATGCATGACACCGTCCAAGGGGGTCAAGCACTAGGGTGTTAAGCATGATGCCGAGGTGAAAATTGGCTAAGTATGGAGATCCAACCGTCCAAAGGAGTCAAGCATGACACCGTCCAAGGGGGTCAAGCACCGGATACCAAACACTAGAGTGTCAAGCATGATGCCACCCCAAGGGGGTCGGATTCATCAAACCTCCAAGCACACATGACGTCATGCCAAGGTGGTTAGCACGGGTACCACCAAGCGTGAAGCCTTCACTCACCAAACAAGACACCTCCATGGCACAAGGGGTTAGCTATCAAGTGGCAAGCACGCAAGACAGTCAATGCATCAAGCAAGCTACATCAAACACCAAGCAGTGGAGCAGCGGTTACCAAGAGGCGGTTGCACGACGGTTACAAGGGATGACTATAAATAGGAGAAACGAAGACGAAGCAGGGTTCCACAACCAATCATTTGACACACTATGTCAAAATTTATCTTTTCTCTGCAACTTGCCTTTTAGTTTTTCGGAGCTCTCACTGAACCTCCATAGGAGTAGAGTAACGTAGCTTGTTCCCAAAAACCATAAAAAACATCAAACACCCTCGTTCGAACATTGTTCGGAGAGGAGTGAACCGTGTAATTAATCGTTGTTCGAGAAGTCAAAGGTGCATTGATTGTGTTCAAACACCAGTTTTTCCTCGCCGGAAAACAATTATATTCGCTAACATTACCCAGCAATCTGTTCGGATGCTTTCTGTCTCGGGAAATCACCCTCTCCTTCACGTTCCGCTTCAACCCCTCCATCATAAAACAAAGGAAAACATAAAAACCTACCTTTGAACTACGATTGAGCCGATCAGGGATCGAGGCCGGAGTAGTGGTGGTACCAGCAGCTTTTGCAGCAGAGTACTTCGGCAGGGGGAAATGCTAGATAATGTTGTAGCAAAGGGCATCAAATTGGGAGATAATAATGATGATGATGTCCTCTCTTCACCATTCAAGATCGTGAAGAAGATGTTAATCAATATCAGATTGGTGTAAAAATTTATACAACAAGATCCAACCTTGACTGCAATTCTTGGAGTTCGCGTTGAACTGTGGAGGATACATATATATAGTCAGAAAAAAAGAAACTGGAGACCTAACAATTGTACTATTAGTAAAAGACAGAGAAGATATACTGAGGGAGAGGGACTAAGAACTACGAAGGGAAGAACCAGTTGTCAGTTTTACGTGTTTCCCGGTTGTTTCCTGATGCAAAGACGAACTGGCTAAGCACATTCCATTTCTTCGCAAATTCTTGGCGAAAGGGTTTCAGATGTGGCATCAACCACCCTTAGCATACATTCATATCAGCTTTTGATCATGGTTTCAAAAAAGAGATTCCTGTTTGGAGTAGAGCTCGGTTCGGACGGCGGCAGAGTAAAAAAACAATGTAGACCAGACAGAGTAACGGCAGCAGAAGAGTGTTTTGGTCGTTTGATTCAACGAACGGACCCATTATTGAGAATTAACAATAGTAATTACATCAAGTCTTAGCCGACTAAACCCATACATCCAAACAATCCCTAAAATTCATTCCTTCTTTTCTTCTTCTGTTTCCTCTTGCCACATCTCCTCCCAATGCTCCCGAGCTTCCTCCAAACCCAGCAACGACCCTTTCCGGTTCGGATCCAAGCTGGTGGAGAGCCCACCGTACGCAATCCCGAGGATTGACGCCGTGAAAGTGAGGAGAGTCGTCATGAAGGGCACCCACAAGGGCAAATCCATCAGATTCCGCTCTTTGACAAACCCAATCAGGTACAGCAAACCGATCCCTAGCCCCATCGGTATCCCAACGGAGACGAATATCCTCGCCGTCATTCTCTCGAACACTTCCTGCGGAATCTCGTCGCTTTCGTTGTTGTTTTTGTTCTTCTTTCCTCCGCCGGAGGGGGATTCTTTAGCTGGTGGGTTGATTGGAGCTGGTGGTGGTGGTGGTGCTCGGGCGCCGCCGCCGAAGCCCTTGGCGTTTGCGTTGAGCTTCCATGGATTGTTGCTGGTGGGTTTATGGGGACGAAGGAAGGGAGAGGATGGAATTGATGATGGCTTGGAGGGATGTAGATGAGCCAGGTGAAGAGCGGGTTTCTGGGTAGAAAACAGAGCATTCATGGTGTTTTGGGGATTGGGTTTAGAATGTTTGGTTTTCAGGTTTTTTGCATCTTATCCTAAAGTAAGCTTGGGGGGCTGGTGAGCTACTGAACTAGCGCTGCACTGATCGTCCGATCCTTTGAACTTTTGTTTTTCACTCAAAAATATCTTTTCTTCTTTTCCTCGCAAAAGTGAAGTGAGTGAGTGTTCACTAGCATTTTTTTTTTTACAAAAGATAATCATATATTGATACCAAAATATAAATAGTTACACCCTGGATCCAAGCCAGGTCCGAAAATTAAAGAACCAACTCATAGTCGGGTACAAAGAGAGGGCTTTCCTAGCCACCATATGGGCTACCCTATTACTACTTCGACCTATAAATCGCACACTAAACCTAGGGTTGCTACCAAAATAATGTAAGACTTCCTCCAACACAGCACCCATCCGGTTATCCCTAGCATCCTTGCAGTTGATTTTATCAATGATGACCTTGGCATCCCCTTCGAAGCGCATCCCCGTGAGACCCTGACCCACACACCAAGTAATGGCCTCCCGGAGCACAAGCAATTCCACGACCACCGGGTCATCAACCCCCCGAAACTGAATCCCATGAGCCATAAGAACATCCCCCGAGGCAGCCAGAAGAACCATACCACCTGCTGAATGCGATCCCTTCCTGGTAGCCCCATCCCACTGGCAAATAAACCCTGCAGCCTGATCCAGCCCACCTGATCGTGGAGCCGCCGGGGGAGAAGGCACAATGGGGACATCCACCGGCAACCCCACCCATTCCTCATACTGCTGGGAAAACTGCCTCATCAACGCAGGGAACCCAAACTGCTTTCCTTCAAACACCATGCACCCAATTTCTCGATTGCCAGATGCGCCAAAGGACAGAGACTACTGCCATGAGGAGCGTCGGCTGCTGAATTAAGGCCATTAAGCGTTTAAGAAACAGAGGAAAAGTATGGCGAGGCAAACCCTCCCCTAGGTACTCTAACCCGGAGAGGCCCCAGAGCTCACGCGCCACCGGACAATCCAGAAACAGATGCTCCATTGTTTCCGGGCCACCCCAACAGACCGGGCAACGAGGGAGAACAGGGACCTTGCGTTCAATAAGGGACTCCGTGGTGGGTAGAGTTCGATTGAGAATTTTCCAAACGAAGACTTTCAGCTTAGAGGGAATATTCGCCTCCCACAACCTGATCCAACTAGATCTATCCATCCAACTAGCTGAAGCCTTCCACCGCCCCCTCCTCCTATCAAGGGAGACAACCAAATGATAGGCTGACTTGACCGAGAACACCCCATCAGGAGTACAATGCCATATCAATTTATCAGCAAGATCCTGCCCGGGGAGGGGAATAGTTTTTATAATACGGCAAGTAGGCGGATCAAACCGCAGACTGAGCTTGGAATCACACCAACGCCCTTCCCCTTGACAAATTACCTCAGCCACCGTGGGATCACCCCCCACAGGAAGAACCACCAGATTATATCTCGGGGGGTCAAGCTGCAGCTGAGGAATCCAGGGGGACCGAAGCAGGGACGCCGAGTGCCCATTCCCAATTTGCCATCTGAGGCCCATTTCCAACAAATCACGACCATACAAGATGCTTTGCCAGCCCCAGGAAGGACGCGACCTGGCTTTCGCATTGAGAAAATGCCCGGATACTTACCCTTATAGACTTGAGCTAGAAGAGATTGGGGCTCAACCAACATACGCCAGCCGATCTTGGCTAAAAGAGCTTGATTGAAATGCTCAAACCGGCGGAAGCCCATTCCCCCCTCATGCTTACTCTTACACATATCCCGCCAGGCCATCCACCTGATTCTCGGTGACCCTCCTCATCATCCCACCAAAAGCGAGCAACATGCTTGTCCAATAGGCGACACAACGAGAGAGGCATCTTGAATTTTTTTTGATGAATTTGCAATTTTTGATGAATTTGCAATTTTTATCTCAACAAAATGCAAAACATTTTAATTATACTAAATTGTTTTTGAAGTATGAATTCTTACAAGTTACAACATTATACGATAATTAATAAAAGAAAGAGATTAATTCAGTATTCCACCAAATTAATATAAAAATTATGTGTTATAAAAAGAACATGTAAGAATGAGACTATTATTTAGAGTCACATTATTCAAGTGTCCTTTTGTAATTAGCCAAAGCTTGGAGGGATTTAAATGCTATTGAGGTTCTTATTAATTAGCTTACGACAATTGAATCCAAATTAAACTCAAATTAATGTTGAACACGGAGTTGAATTCGGTGTTTACTTTTGGGTCGACAATGACTTTTGCACGCTTAAAATGACGGGTATTCGACCTAATAGTTGACGAATTTTTGACCAACAACGATTTTTACGTAGAGTCACACCAACTACATTATTTTATTGTTAAACTTGTATTAGTTAATTGACTTTTTATTAGTTAATCATATGTTTTAATTATTTTCTTTTATCTCAAATTCATGTGTATTCTACCTAATCGATCCGGTTCGGTGTTGCCGAATTTTGGGTCGGGAACGAATTGTACCCGCTTATGGTAATTAACGCATTGGGTCGGGTGTGGCTTTTGTTAACAGTAGTGTTAAACCTAATTTCACCCAGTCTCGTTATTGTGGAATTTTTGGATCGAACCGCTCCGTTGTTTCCAAGTTTTACCCGCTTTTGTAATTAACGCATTGGGTCGGGTGTGGCTTTTGTTAAAACCAATGTTCGACCTAATTTGACCTGGTCTCGTTGTTGCCTAATTTTTGGCCGAGAATAAATTTTAACGCATTGTGTCGGGTGTGGATTTTGTTAAAAATAGTGTTCAATCTAATTCGATCCAGTCCCGTTGTTGCCGAATTTTGGATCGGGAATGAATTTTACCCGCTTTTGTTCCACTTATCAAGCCGGTCAAAGCGAGTTGAATTCAATCAATTATTTTGTTTTCAAACTTTTTATTAGTTAAACAAATGTTATAATTATTTCCATTTATCTCAAATTCATGTGTATTCAACCTAATCGATCCGGTCTAGTGTTGCCGAATTTTGGATCAGGAACGAATTTTATCGGCTTTCGGTAGTTAACGCATTGGGTGGGTGTGGCTTTTGTTTAAAACAGTGTCCAGCCTAATTTGATCCAGTCCCATTGTTGCCAAATTTTTGGATCGATCCGGTGTTGCCAAATTTTACCCGCTTTTGTAATTAACACATTGGATTAGGTGTGAATTTTGCTAAAAATAGTGTTCAACCTGATTCAACCACTTCTCGTTGTTCTCGAATTTTGCATCGAGAATGAATTTTACCCTCTTTTGTTCCACTTATCAAGCCGGTCAAAGCGAGTTGAATAGTGTTGACGAATTTTGGGTCGGGGTGAGTTTTACCCATTTTTGTAATTGACGGGTTGGGTCGGTGACGAGTTTTACCCGAGTTTATGTCCGTTTATGACAATTAACCCAAATCCATGAGTATTCAGCCTTATTCGACCCGGTCAAATTGAGTTGAACGAATTTTGGTTCTTGAACGCATTTTACCCGCTTTTGTAATTGACGAATTATGTCGGGTGTAATAATGAAATGTTAATCAATTATTTTATTGCTAAATTTTTTATTTGTTAATCAAATGTTTTAATTATTTCCTTTTATCTCAAATTCATGGTATTCAACCTAATCGATTGTTCGGTGTTGCCGAATTTTGGGTCGGGAACAAATTTTACCCGTTTTGTAATTAATCGGCCTATGTCCAACATGACAGTGTACTTTTCACTATAGCAACGGCTTTATAGATGTGTTGAAAGAATTCATGTAGTGAGTGTAAATAGAGTATGAAAATAGGGTATTCGTATATTTACATTAATTGAGATGAGGTCAATAAGTTTGAACTTTAAGGCAGTCGTTCACTAATAGGTGGGTATAGATAGAGGGAATGAATGCGGTGCAGGTCAAACCTCACGAGCCTGAAAAGTTTGGGAACAAGAGCATATTTCTTTTCTTTTATGCCCTAATGTTATGCACTACTCTCGTGGGGTTGCAAAATTTTCGGAAACCTTTCAGACGTATGTAATGTCACCAAAAAGGAACCTTTCAGTCGTTAATGTGTTTGCTCACACTAAATGTGCCCGTTCTAAAAAATCAATATATGCAGTGCGGCACATATCACAATCTATTGCCCGTCGCGGAGCACGGGCTTTCCTTACTAGTATAATGTGTTGGACGAAAACTTACAAGAGAGTGACTAAATGTGACCTGTTTCAGTAATTCGAGTGATTAAATGTGACATGTTTCAGTAATTCGGGCGACCGGAGTTGGACGGAGGCTAACAGGAGAGTGACTAAGGTGAACTGTTTCAATAATTCGAGTGATAAAAATGATATTAAATTTTTGTAGTGACTAAATATGACACAATTTAATAATCTCAGTGACCAAATGTGGCATTTACCCATTCATAAGAACCTAATGTTGAGTCTGTAAATTAAAAGAATAGCGGCTATGCCTTTCTGAGTTTCAAAAGTTACATTTTTTTTATCATTGGTTCTTATTATATTTTTGTAGTGGTTTTATACTCTATTTTCAGAAATTATTATAATTTTAATGAGCTTTTTCAATCTAAGTTAGTTTTTGAACGAATAATAGGGGTGCATTTGTATCGATTTTCAAAAAGAACATTTTAGTTTGATTTAATTTGGCCACATTGATATGTTTTATTTTTTCTCTCCAAAAATCTGAGTTAAAATAAGATACAAAATCAGAGTTTGAGACTATAACCATAACGAATTCCAACTCCAAAGACTCGTCATAAACAAAATTTTACAGGCTACCATGTGAGTCACTCTATAATTACTTAATTAGTACCATTAATAAAATGAAGGTCAAACACCAACTATGATGAAACAAAGATCAATCGATAACCAATTAATCATTTATCACCCCTAATAATTAGTACATCGATAAAACGAAGGTCAAACACGAAATCTAACATTTTGTACACGAGACATTTTACAATGCTATATAGTATTGGTGCTATA